ATCTCAAAGAGTATTTGCGGAACGTCCAGGATTTGTATTTTTGAAACATCATATTATAGGATGTCCAGGATTTGTATTTTTGAAACATCATATTATAGGATGTCAATGGAGGGATATAAGACCAGGGATATTCAATTCCGCAATGGATTAAGCGCTTGAGACCGAAGATTATATAATTATAAGAAATGTCAGGCTGATAACGAGTTCCCGCACACGTCTGTGCAAATCCTGTTGAAAACAATGGATATAGAAGGAGAGTACTTTGAGCAAAGTCGTGTTCAAACAATTGCTAAATTCACATTTTAGAATCACCACTACAAGTCTGGCCCATTCCAATTCTTTGTATCCATTCCCTTAAATTCTCTTTTTGAAGATTATCTCCAAAGTCTTCCGATATACTTATTGAGCGGTTGAAGAATTCAGGAAAATATGAAACGTATTATACTGGCTTGAACTTGAAAAAATCACACAAATTAAACCGAGCCGCCAGAACCTTGATTTCCAACTAGGCCTACCATTTCAAGAAAAGCACGTTCCTCGCCTAGACTTCTAAGATTCACACCCTGCCTCGCCAGGGCTTGTTTCTCCTCCCATTCCCATTGTTTTTTTTGCTCCTCCAATTCTTTGGTAGACCCGACACCCCAGACTTCTAAATCTGTGATCACAAAACGGTCTTCATAATCTTGATGAAGTGCAGAGTTTTGAATTGAAGTCTCGAAATAATGAGGAGTATTTGCCCCAGCATTTACAATGTGTCTGAACACGGCAAACTCTAAGTTGGCTTCAATAGTCAAGGAGACACTCCCTGGAATATGCTTGCGGGTATTATTCTTATTCAATGGCTGTTCATTTCCGAATCCCACACCCATGCCTTGATTGTTGAAGTAGATCAGTTTGCCGTTGGTGAGGAGGCCACGCTTTGATTTGAAAAAATCGAGTCTGGGCAGAATCGACATGATTGCTGTTTCCTCATCCCCGAAATTATTCTTGTTCGAGTTTCTCCATGGCTGTTTGACGAAAACAGCATATGTCACCCGATCGTTTTCGTGCTGCCAACTTTTTCGAGGGTCCTCAATCGACCTGAAATGCCGAGGGTATTCAGAATCAAATTGTTGATATCGCTTGTTTTTCTTGATGGTCTTGTTCTTCAATCTTTTTCCCGAGACCAAAAATATTGTTGGGGCCTGCCACTTAAATATTTTCAGTTCTAAGGAGCGGATTGAGAATCCGCTTTGGGCCCCAATATATAGCTCAACCATGTTTTGTGGAGTGACCTCCACGTTGGTATCAATATTTTTCATAAATAAATTTAACAAAGAGATAGTTGCCTCATCAACAAGACGCGTCTGTACGAATGGTTTGATGGGCTTCGTCCGTTTTTCATTCATTTTCATCTGTTTTTCTGGCGCAGACGCTTTGATCTTCGACAGAAAAAGCGAAATCTGAAGGAACCGCTTGAAATTCTTTTCGAAAAAGTCACACATTACTTCTTGGACTCCAGTCTTGTATTTGCTGTAGCAGATTCTCATCTTTTTGCTGTTAGCACGAGTGATATCGATATCGAAATACCGCAAAAGAAAAAATGACGCATCCTCAAATTGCTTCCACTTCTTGGCAATCAAATTGTGTATATCTTCTTGCATTTTTACGTGTGACTGGTCCGGAATCGAGTTGATCACCAAAAGAAGCGTAAAAATTTGGGCTAGATCATATGCGGAAACAGATAGAACATCAACATTAATCGCATCATAATTCACGAGAGGATCAAGAGAATCCCAAATGATCATATCACATGCGGTTTCAGTCTCCTCTTTAGCTGATGTTTTGTAAGAAACGTTGACAGAAAGGCTCTTCATGATAGCATTCTCTTTGGTTTTCTCGTGTGAGCCAGCCTCAAATTTGCTTTTTTCGTTCAGTGTGCCAACTGAAACTGGCCTCGTCTCACTACTATCCCCCCTTTTTTTCTCATCGAGCTCAGACCCTGATATCAGTTGCGGAGTCAAAGCGAGCGAGATGAATACTACTTTTGTGTAATGACAGGTGGGCCATATTTTAGACATACGACCCAGGTGCACCGCAAGCGCCACAAGAAGCTTTTTGATCGTGAGCTGATCCATGTGTAATGGTACACCTGATAAAAATGGCAACCTTCCCAAGACCGTAAACGATCTATATAAAATCTCAATAGCAGGAGTAGCTGGCGACTCCATACATATCCCTGATTGAGGGTCAAGTCGCTCAATGTGATTCTTAGTGTCGTTATCAGAGTCGGGTATAGTACAGGGCTCTTCATTTTCAATCTTTGAAAGATTGAGCAAGAGTGCTAGGTCAGTATACGTCAATATGGCATCACCCTTTGTGATATCGTTCATATTGACTTTCGAAGCAACAGACTGTATCTCTCCTTTCCCAAGCAAACTGATAGCCTTTGCTTGGAATAATGATGTTATACTTTGCGCCGAATACTTTTCTTTCTGTGGGCCATTTGTGGCTTCAGAGCTGGTGAGTTGTCCCATGGCTGGGAAGAAGGTGGGATAGGTGAATTGTGGGGTTGTGGAGAACCCTCGCGACGGCGTATGTGCGTGGGACAAAAAAAAAGCAAGGAGAATAGCTTTTTGTGTAATGAATAGATTGCTGGGTAAAGGGGTCACCTGATTGCAAAGAATTGTGATGAAAGGTTTTCGAAGTTTGAAGAATAATATATCAGCGTCCTTATTTTTGATTGTGGAGAAGAATGCGCGAAAAAATATTAATTACTTGAGAATAGTAAAAGCAAAATAGTTCAATACCGTCGTCAAAAATTGAATTATAAATAAAAAACATTCCTTTTTTTAAATGGTAGTTCAAGTCCGTCGCTTAGATAGGCGAACATCATCAGGATTATGGGAAAAGCCTGTGAAGACGAAAGGTACACAGCAGTAGACTGAGCGCTCGTCAGCAGCCTAAAAGTGGTGGAGTGGAGTGAGTGGGTCTGAATTATTAAGTCTCTTGCTCTGGGTATACCCGTGTAATATTTAAGACTGAAAGCCCTGATAAGAAATAAGAGTTGATCTTCTTAACATTATATTTGGAGTATATTAAATAGTAAGGCTTTGTAAGCCGCCTCGTGCCTCTTCGTGTTAAAAGCCTGCGACCGATTAAATCTCAAGAGTCTGCCTTACGCATTATGAAAAAGAATTAACCGAATTCAAGCTAGTATGCAGAGGAAACCGCGCATTTGTTCAACTCCATTCTGAGTAATATCCTCAGATAGGGAGATAGATTCGTGGAAGAAAGACGAATCATAAATTCTATAGCCAAGTAGTTTCCTGATCATCATTACTCTGGAGAGTTTCCAGAGACAAACATTTCGATAAAGAAATGCCTTGCTCTCATTTCAAGCGCATACACGACCTTACGGATCTTACCCCCAACTGAAGTGTGCATGGCATCCTCACACACCGAGTCGTGGCCGTGATACCATTGATTGCGGATGGACTGGAGCAAAAGCTGCTTGGTGAAAGAAAGGAAGACAATGCAGAAGTACACACGCATGGACGTGGTCAAAAATGTGCCGCTTATCGTCAAAAACAACTCTCTTCCAGGCGATGCAGACTGTGAGGTGTCTATAGACCTTTGAGCCAAGTCCAAGGCAGATTCACCTAAGGTGCCTGCAGGGTGGTTGTCTTCTCGACTAAACCAGAAGTATACGAAGTAAAGAGTGTAAACAAACCCGACCAAAGTGTCGAGAATGTAGATCAGACAGCCCAAGCACATTTTGCGCAAGTTAGTGGACCTATCCAGAAAGCTAAATAAAGCCGACACATAGAAGGGGAGCACCAAAAATGCAAGTAAATTGTAGACCCATTGCCAGAAGTTCATATGATGGCCAGTCAAGATTGAAAGCACACCATAAACGCCACCAGCCTTGTTCAAAATGGCAAATGAAAGAATGAGCTCCACTCCAATATATAGCGGGATGACAAATAAAAAGTTCTGGGAAAGTTGGTTAGTAGACGATGAAGGGGAGAAAAATTATGCTACTACCATAGTTCTGGCTGTAGGTCTTTTGAGGGAATAGATCGTAAAAGTTATTGACATACGGATGGAAGAAACTGGTCGAGCGCAGAATGTCTCATTTCGCGTGTGTGTGTTAATTTGATATCAAACGGACAGTTTGGGAAAGTCTGGCTGATTTCGTTTTGGAAGAGTGTAACGCTCTGCGTAGTAAGGTGAGTTTTCAGGACTGGCCGCGAAAAATATTCTGCTCGATACTACGCGTTTGGTGGAGTGAACAGGTATGGCTAACTGAATAGGAAAAAAATTCTCAAATGCGACGAAAAGGATTAAAAAGGAAAGGCTCCATTAATATTTCAAGCTTTCTGGTCGTCACCACCTATGCATGGGTCTGATCGAAATGGGATCGATGTGAAGCAGCATATTACTTAACAACCAGATTTACGGAGCCAATGTGGCCGAAATAATATAGAGCTTTTCCTCCGAGTCAAAATGGCTAGCTATTTGAAATCCCCGAAATCACTTTCATAGCACTTGATTCTAGCATTGGCTGACCTCCAATTTTCCTAACTACTGGGGTCATGGTGCATCGCACCATCGTAGGCCTGCACCACTCTCATCTCGCTTCTCGCGCAGATGCATATTAGTCCACCGACCTTGATACCCTGGTGTAAAGCGTTAATCTGTCTATTTTATCTTTCAAAAGTCTACCGATCCCAGCCAAAGAAAGCAGAAAGACACAATGAGTGCAGAAATTCTGGAAAAATATGAGCATTTGACGTTGCACACATACAGCCTGGACTCAGACCTGGACTCCGAAACCTCGGATTCAGACCTCGATTTCGAGGTAGCCGCAACGGGGCCGCAACAGAAAAAGGAAAAGACGATTACCGACCGGGGGGATATTGTTGAAAAATACTCGCTGTCGATAAATCCAGAGCCATTGAAAAAAGGGCCAAAGACCACGAAAGACCGCTCCAATCGAGCTACCGTGGAACAGGTCTTAGACCCGCGGACCATGAGGTTTTTGGCTAAAATAATCAACAAAAACATCATTTCCCGTATTAATGGATGTATCAGTACCGGAAAAGAGGCCAATGTGTATCACGGCGACCATGAAGATCCACTGGTCACCACCAGGGAGTTTGCTGTGAAAATCTACAAAACTTCGATCTTGGTGTTTAAGGACAGAGAGAGGTATGTGGATGGCGAGTTCCGGTTCAGAAACACAAAGAACCAGGGAAACCCGCGGAAAATGGTGAAGGTGTGGGCGGAAAAAGAGTTCCGTAACTTGAAACGCCTCTACCTACACGGGATTCCGTGCCCGGAACCGATCGAGCTCAGATCCCACGTGTTAGTGATGGAATATTTGACTAAAGGAAATGCACAGCCATCGCCCAAATTGAAAGACCACCCTTTCAAAGACACTGAAGAGATTGTTTATTACTACCAACAAATGCTTTTCTATATGAGAAGAATGTACAAGACGTGCCGCCTCGTACACGCAGATTTATCTGAGTACAACTCAATAGTTCACAACGATAAGCTCTATATCATCGATGTGTCTCAGTCGGTTGAGCCTGAGCACCCGATGGCGCTTGACTTTCTTAGAATGGACATCAAGAATGTCAACGACTTCTTTTCTAGAAAGAAAATCAACGTGTATCCTGAAAGACTTTTGTTCAAGTATATCACAGACGCAGATGAACAGCTTGAGATTTCTGGAGACTCCGATGAGGAGTTGGGCAGATACTTGGACAACTTGCCTTTGAAGTCCGAACTGGAGCACTCAAATGCGGAGGACGAGATCTTCAGGTCTTTGCATTTGGTTCGGTCTTTGAACCATTTGGAAGAGCGGGATTTCGAAAAGTTTGCTGAGGGAAAAGTAGACACGCTCACTGACTTGGTGGTTAAGGAAAGACAAAGTGCAGATGAAAGCCTGGATTCGGAAAGTGATGACGAAGACAGTGATAGTGATGATGATTCAGAAGATGAGGAGTTCAGGCCTAAGAAGGAGAAGGAGTTAAAGGGCAAGAAGCATGAGGATAAGGACGAGAAAAAGGCTCGAAAGACAGCGGCCAAGACTGCTAAGGCTGACAAAAGGAAGACCAAGATGAAGAAGCACGTCAAGAAGAAGTTGATCAACAAGCGAAAGACCACGTAATGCTGGTCCACAGCAGACCTGATATAGGTGATGAAAGCAAAATATAGAGGCATCGTAGGCGTTTTTGAACTATAAGAGAAGGATTTTGAAGATTCACGTGGGGAAGATGCCAGGAAGGCTTTGCGTTTATGTGAAGCAGGCAGCTCGATAATCTTGGAATCTAGCTTCTTTTGATTTTCTCACTTATACCATATACCTAAACTTTTTCGAGAGATCTGCTTGGAGCGTCATTGTCACACGAACATTGAGAGTAAGGAATTATCAGAGAGCTCTGTTTGCGCTCCACAGTCGACATCATTGGCGACTTCTGAGCTCACACGGTGGTGAGGTGAAGCAAATGATCCATGTATCTGATCCAAACTCTTTCCCTGGAGATCAAGCTCGTCGCAAAAAAAGACAATAGTTTATCTTCTAGGGCATAGGACTCCGAGACCGACTTTACTATGCCAATGTGAAATGCGTATACACCCAAGTTAGTGGAAAGCGCCGGAACAGATACAAAGACAAATGGACCGCTGTGCCTACAAATACAAGGCAATGGCCGATACCGGACTTCTGAGATTTGCATCGAGCGTGGGGCCCTGGGTTCACCCGATGTCAGTTTTGCAACTGCATGCTGAAACTAATTTGAGTCTGGATATGCAGAAAGAGTGGTTTTGGTACTTCAACAGGGAGTTGCCCTGCAGAATTTTAAGGATTTCTTGAAGGCTTCAAGCGCTCAACAACAAGTCCTACTACTGGCTGTGTCTGTAAGAAACCAGGCTTGTCTAGGCTTGTTTCTCCAAGACGAGCAACTCCAAATCATGGTACCTGCATATACGCGAGACACGGTCCCCAGGTCTACGGGACCATTTGTAAACGCATGATAATTGAGCAATTCAGCTCAAGAAAAATCAAGCTTGCAGAAGAAGCACCCGTGATGGGCCACAAAATTATCCAGCCAGCTTGTTCAGACCCAGATTTTCCCAGGGCACCAGCCAGCTGGAGGCGGGGGCCGGGTAACCTCTGCGCGAGGCGAGGCTGGCTGGGCCTGCCAGAAAAACCTGCGTAAAGCACCGTTGCTCTTTGTTAACCGGCCACATATAACCGAGCCTCCAGCTAGCACCACCGCCGTCTAAACACTGCCCCGGCCCAATTTGGAAACAGGGGTCCTAAACCACCACACGAAACCTACGAGTCCCCGAAACGCTTTCTTTGTGCACGTGTGCATGCTCCTCCTTTCGCGCCGAGCCTTCTTATCTAAACTTATCTGGACCATCTGAACCTTCTGTGATATCCCCGCATTCCCCACATCTGAACATGGAGGATTATCTAAAAGACCCATATGATGATACACAGCAGCGCTACAAAAACGGCAACACGTCCTGGCCCGGCAATGGGCAGTTTTCCAACTTGGACGACCTACAGTTGACGGTAGCGCCAGCCTCCTTGGCCGCGCACGACCCGGGGGACTACGCCAAGTCCAACCCGCCACAAACAGACCCCTTCTTGGAGACCTTCGACTTTCTCGGGTCGCCGACGCAGCAGGCAGTGTCGCCCAACCTAGCCGCCGGCGGCAGCGATGCATGGGCGGATCGCGGCGAGAATGTCTATGCGGACATGGACCCACTCAACAACTTGGACCTGCTTGTGTTGCCCGAGCGGCGGCCGGCAAACGGAGGCCCTGGGCACAACATGCTAGCCTCGGCCCAGTACTTCTCCCCCAACTCGCGGGGCGCCAATTTTGGGCAGCTCAACTCGATCGTGGAGGACTCCGTGTCGCCGTCCTTTTACAACAACACGTTCAGCCCACAGCACCTGCGCCATGGCAGCGTCAGCATCCCACCGCCGCTGAACTCGTACCTCCTGCAGCACCTCTTGTCGCCGCAGCAAAACACCTACGACAGCTCGTTCGACACTCTCAAACTGCCGTACTCCGGCTCCTACCTCAACTCGCCGCCTCCGGCCATGTCCTTGTCCCAAAGCAGCGGTACCAACGCGACGCTGTCATACGTGCCGCCGGCAAGCATGCATCTGCCCAACACCCAGCATTGTGCCACGGGACCCTCCAGTGTGGGGGCGCTCCCAAACAACCAGGTCCGCAAAGTACTGGAGCAGTCTGCCACGCCAAAGCAGTTGACCCTGGAGGAAAAGGCCAAGCGCCGGCGCGAATTCCACAACGCGGTCGAAAGACGCAGACGGGACTTGATCAAGGAGAAGATCAAGGTCTTGGGGTTCCTTGTTCCGCCATCGCTCCTCACGCCGCAGGTGTGCGCCGTCCAGACGCTCCTGAAGAGTCCAGCTCTGAACTCGAAAGAAATCAAGGAGTTGCTTTCTACAGTGAGAATCAAGGACACGAAGCCCAACAAGGCTTTCATCTTGCAGACCTCAGTGGACTACATACGGCATTTGCAATACGTGGTGGATAGGCAGACTGCTCGCAGGGGAGAGCTAGAGGCCGCAATTTCCAAGCTCAGCACATCGCATGAACCGGCGAGAGAGGAGCAAAGAGATCCTAGCGTCAAACTTGAACAGACGTTCCTGCTGTCTGAGTTTGATCCGGATGAGTTTTTCTCGGCCGACATTTGAAAAGAACGAAGTTGGGATTCACAAAGGGTATGTTACATTAAAGTATAACTTTATACGCGGGTCATAAATTTACATCGACATTGACATTGAAAGGACAATCGCCCCAAGCTCACCAAGCTTTTGGAAACCTGGCATCCGATTACGTCAAAGTCACGTGACGGAATCATCGCAGCGCACGGGTGCCGCGTAGATAAACGGCCATGGTTCTGCACGTGATGCCCAGCCATATAAGATGGTCGATCGCATACTGAATACATCGCCTCGAGGTGAAACAAAAGTACACACTTCGAAGAATGGACTCGGAAACGCAAACCAAAGCGCAGGGCCTCGTGGACTTCATCACCTATTCGCCCACACCATACCATGCCGTGGCCAATGTGAAGCAGAAACTTACTCTGGATGGATTCGTGGTATTGAAAGAGAAAGACCAATGGGACTTGCAACCAGGACAGAAGTATGTCGTCACCAGGAATGCCTCTTCTTTGATTGCCTTTAAAATCGGGCAAAGTTTCAGGAAAGGCGGGCCTGTGGCAATTGTAGGGGCTCACACAGATTCCCCTTGTTTGCGCATCAAGCCGATCTCTAAGAAATCTGGCGAAGGCTTCATTCAAATTGGCGTGGAACAGTACGGTGGTCTCATAGCACATTCGTGGTTTGATAGGGATCTCAGTGTTGCCGGACGCGTTTACGTGAGGGAGAAATCAGGGAAGTACGTGCCCCGCTTGGTGCATTTGAGAAAGCCATTGATGAGAATTCCCACGTTGGCTATCCATCTTGACAGGGAGGTGAACAAGAAGTTCGAGTTCAACAAAGAAACGGAGTTGTTGCCAATTGCTGGTCAAGAAAAATTCGGCCATAGCTGTGCCGATGATCCTAATCTCCAGCTCTCGACCTCTGAGTTCGAGGCGGTCAAGCATGTCGTAGAGCGTCATAATGAATCGCTCCTCATACTTATTGCCAAAGATTTGGGTGTTGAAGTGTCCCAAATCGAAGATTTCGAACTTCTTCTCTGTGACTACCAGGATGCCACCTTGGGTGGCATGCATGACGAGTTTATCTTCGCTCCACGTCAAGACAACTTGACTTCATGCTTCGCCTCAATGGAAGCCTTACTAGCCTCTGAGCCAGCTGAAGAGGGTGCTCTGATGATCTCTCTCTTTGACCACGAGGAAATCGGCTCTGTGTCTGCGCAGGGTGCTGACTCATCTTTCTTGCCAGACGTGCTTGCACGTCTTGCCGACTCCGATAATGGAGCCATGGCTCGCATGTGTAGCCGCTCTTTCTTGCTCTCGTCCGACCAGGCACATGGCGTGCACCCCAATTATGAGAGAGTATACGAAAAGGCCAATCGGCCGCACGTGAATGGAGGTCCCGTGATCAAGATCAATGCCAACCAGAGATACGCCACGAACTCTCGCGGTATTGTGCTTATCAAGGCTGTTGCCCAGCGTGCAAAGGTGCCATTACAGCTTTTCGTGGTGAGAAACGACTCACCATGTGGCTCCACCATCGGGCCCATGCTCTCGGCGAAATTGGGATTGAGAACCTTGGACTTAGGCAATCCTCAACTCTCCATGCACTCCATCAGAGAAACCGGAGGAGCATATGATGTGGTGAGATTGACCAAACTATTTGGCGGATTCTTTGCCGAGTACGTCGATGTCGATGCTGCAGTGGAGTGTGACTGAACGTTTCTCAGAAAACATATACAGAGCAAAAGGAAATCGATTAGGTATACAGAGAGTGAGCGTATAATTTTAGGAGAAACTTTGTAAATCCAATGGCTCAGGAATTTTCTTAGGTGAAAGGTCTGTGATATTGGAGAAGGGCTGTGGCTTGGGCCGAAATATAAGGTGATGATATGTCTCAGACCTATTCAAATCTTTGCAATATGTCTTGAAATTCAAGCGATAATAAGTCGAAGATAAGAGCACAGGTGTCTGGGTATGCGTCCCGTAAAGATCCACGTACAGTCTCAAAAGAATGCTGTTCATTTTACGTTGAGACACCACGCGAGGGCACACAATAAACCATAAGCAAAAAGCACGAGAATGAAACGAAGAGTTGGAAAAAAGGTCTGCTGTTTCGGTCCTTGCGTCAATCAGCTCCAACTAGGGTGCTCGATCATGATTGCTGTAGAGGTTACATAACAGGCAGAAACGGAAATGATATGCGTCTAATCAGGCTTTTGAGCATTCTACTGATATTTCTGATATTAAGTGAGCTTTTGAACGAACTGCAAGAAACTTGCCGTGCCATGAAGCAATTTCGAGTTAACGCAGTGTCTCCTGGCCACATTTTGTTCCCGTCGAAAATCAAACCTTTGGACTAACTCTTAGAATGGTGAATAAAGACTTGTTGAAAGCTAAAAATCGGTCCATAAGCTATTGCATGGACTCAGCTCCAAAGCTAGTAACTATATATGCCCGAGAACGAGCCTCTTTTTGGTTGTACACACTCTTATACTTGGATTCTCCAGGTCAAGCGCCGTAATGAGACCGAACCTCTTGTGATTTCAAAAGAAGCTCCCATGTTGTACTGAGCAAGTGACCACGAAACTACTGCATCAGCCCAAAAAAAGGGTCTGCCATGTGCGAGAAAACGGAGCAGATTGATACTCGTATTTCTAGAGATGCCATTCAATTCTTGCTCACCTCCACCCCACCAGCTTGGTAACTGAAAGCCCGCCGTCTCTGGCCAAATCTGTCATTGTTCAAAGACAACGTTTTGTTTGACTCTTTGTCCCTTGGTCACATTCGAAGGTGAGAGGTCTCTTTGACAGCGCATGGAAGCGCATTGTAGTCCGTCTCGCTTTGGGGCCATGCTTCATTCGCCGAGCAAGTACTGCACCACCCGAGCTCGACTAGGTATGTAGAAGTCTACTACAAGCCACCCAAATCCCAAAAAAAAAGCGGGCAGCCATGCCCAAAAATATATGAGGGCAGTAGACGTATGGCCACCAGGATCCAAAAAAAAAAAGACCCCAAAGCAGCCCTAGAGTGCCTCCATCCAATTTTTTGCACCCACATGGCGCAGCCAGATCGCGCGCCCGGCAGTCCTCCAGGCCCCAGGCCCTAGGCCCTAGCCCTGCGATCGCAGCTCACACGGAGCCACCCGATGCGCGCCATTTGACGTATGTACGGAGCCACCAACCTAAACCACTGACCTGAACCACTGATCTCAACCTCTGATCTCCATCACGACACGCGCAACTACGCTGGCTGGCAGCACAAAGACCACACCCAGACAGAACAGACCACAAACCAGTACAGCCCACCCACCCAAACACCCTCCAGTCTCCAGAACCCTCCGTCCCAAAACCTGCCTCAGCCCGGAGCCCGCACAAGTCCCCGCGCCATGATCGTTTCTTTGACCACCCTCGTTTTCCTCTGCGCCACCGCAAACGCGCTCCAGGCGGTGCCGTTTCTCTTTGCGTCGCACCGGCTCGTGCGGGGGCTCAAAGACGAGGTGTTGCAGCCCAACACGCGGCCGCAGGCGCCGGCGCTGGTGACCAACTTGGTCAAGAAAGCCGTCACCGAGTGCTCGTCCGACGTGTACGTGCTCCTCAACGTGCCTGGCTTGCAGAACACAGACTTGCTCTCGAAGCGCAAGGCCGAGTGGCGGCACCTCCAAAACTACCTCCACATGGCGTCGTCCGTGGTGGGCTTGCCGTGGGTCGACGGCACGTTGGACCTCGGCTTTTTGGAGGAGTACATTGTGCGCACGTGCAAGGCCGAGTCCGTGCGCTCGTTCCACAGCGACGAGCACGTGGGCGAATACATCGACACGCGGAAACGCGTGATCCGCGTCGAGGCCAACGCGCTCCCAGGCCCGGGGCCCGAGCGCCTTGCGGCCTTGGCGGACGTCGACGACTTGGTGCGCAAAATCCTCCGCAAGGCGCCGTCGCCCCACTACACGCTTGTGGTCACGTCGGACGAGGTGGCGCCCGTGCACCCGGTGCCCGAGCTGGCGGTGGCCGCGGACCCGGCCCGTTTCGAGCTATTCCACGACGTGGTCAACGACCCGAGACGGGCCGAGGAGCGCGAGCGCAACTCGCACATGTACCGGGACGTGGAGCCCTTCTGGAACGAGGGCCCGGGCCCGGCCGAGTTGTACACACAGCGGAAAAAGCAAGACGAAGTACATCTCCTGGACCCTGAGCTCTGGCGGAAGCACGAGAAGTTGGTCATGACCGTGGTGTTGATGGTGGCGTCCGTGGCGTTCATGCAGACCCTCAGCTTTGGCCGCTGGCTCCGCGAGAAGCTTGTTTCGCCGAAACAGAAGCGGATGTGAGACCGGACGCCGAGGCCACGGGATCTCGAGCCTAGCTCAAGGGCCGCTTGGGTGCGTGCCTTACGCGCTTTGCAAGCATACATGCAGATGGTGGTACGAGGGGCCAGACCCACTGTTCACAAAGGGAGGCTTGCGATGGCTGGTGATGGCAGACATCGAACTCACGGTGGGGAAGAGACAGAGACGAGAGAAGCTGGGTGCAAATGGGGAGGATACGGGGGACTTCCAATGAGCTATCGACGAAGCAGTGCATAGGAGAGGTGCAGAGGCCACGGAGCCCCGAGCATAAGGTTGCCTGCCGGCGTGTGGACCTTCGCTACTCACTTTGCCAGACAAACGGCGTGCCTGCGCAAGGGGACACGCTAAGCACACCCAGCAATTGCGTTTTGCTGCTGGACATCTCCAGGAGGCCGTGTCGGAGTCCGCCTGGAATTCGGAACAAGATGCAGACGGCTGATGGATCTGGGCCGTCGGAAAGCACATGTCTCGGGAAATGTGCATGCTCGGTCATGACTAGGCCCAAGCGACAAGAGTGCGATCCTGGGCGCCTTTGATCCATATCTTCGGTGGGCTGCCAATTTGCCATGTCCAGCAGAAGACTATCGCCGGGGCTTAGAGTAAAATACAGGCTTACGAAAGACTCTGATTTACGAGCCTTCTACTAGTTTGGAATGCGCAGACAGCGCGAGCCTAATAAACGTCCTCAGACATCGATCCATCGGTGCGGTGCATTCCGCATCACATGGCAGTTCCCACCATTGTAGATTGCGGAGCAGATTCAAAGATGGCCTGGGGCTCAATGCTCTTCATGCGCGAACTGTGCTACTTATGAGCCTATGCATCCCTGTCTTGCGTTATTTTCTTACTGAGGGAAGGCCCGGCCGACGCTGTGTGCAGCACAGACAATGTAAAATCAGCTGTTTTTTACATTTTGCGCTTTATGCAGCATGAGCGAACAAATTCGGAATCTCACAACGGCTCTTAATGGAAAAAAAAGTAGTGGACAAACCGTGAATGTGCCCAGCGGAGATATTGCAATCTGCGAGGATTAACCCTGTGCCCCCATAAATTGTGGAGAAACATTCCAAAAGAAGGGAACAATCAGAATAAAAGAATAAATGGAAACCAGGGGTGGGGCAAATGCCTGCATTGGCACCGAGCGAGTGGCTGGGTTTTGTCAGTCCATCTACAGGTGAACTTCGGCCCAGCCATTTCGCACGCTTGCTTGCGCGGCGTGCCCATAGTAATGCTTGTCTCTTGTGAGAGTCTGACTAAAAGGTCGTTCGATTTTTACTTGTATTGTTTCTTCCCGTGCCACATACCAAACACGTCGGGCCACTGGACAATTCGTGCCGATTTTTGGACAGCTGCACCGGAATACCATCCCCGAGCTATTTTGTTGAAGAACTCTGGAATTTCCCACCTCCACACAACTTCCCCGCCAACACCTGACCTATCCGTCTGATCGACAAAACCAGATTGCAAGCTGGATATCTGATTCTGCTGTCACGAATTCTGCCGCTCCATTGACCTGCCGACTATTCCGAGTACTTTCTTTCTGAACACATCATCTCTTTTCTCTACTACAGCATAGCTTTCCAATTGTACCCATGTCTGACTATCTACAATTCCGAACCACTGCTCTGGGCCGCCACGAGGGGAAAACACACATTGTAATTGTGGGGGCAGGAATCATCGGCGTGTGCACTGCCTATTTCCTCGTCAAGCACCCGAAGTTCGACCCTAGTAAACACCACATTTCTCTCGTTGAGAGCAAGCGTGTTGCCGGAGGCGCTAGCGGAAAAGCCGGAGGCCTTTTAGCACTATGGGCTTTTCCACTGCAGCTTGTGCCGCTTTCTTTTGAGCTACACCAGAAACTCTCCGACTTGTATGACGGCGAGAAAGAGTGGGACTACAGACGACTCACCACACTTTCTATTGAAGGAGATATCAGTGGCGTACCAGATGAAGTTGCAGAAGATGAAGGCTTTGAAAAGCCCGAACATTCCAAGAGCATAAAAAACGGCGACAAGCCGCCCAAGAAAACACTGCGAGCGACGTCTGTAGAGGATAAAAAGATCCTTCCCCCCGACTTGACTTGGATGTCAGAAGAGCTAGTCACTGGATGTCATTCTTTGGGCGGGAAAGACACCACTGCCCAGGTGCACCCATACAAATTCACCAACTTCCTCTTGAGAAAGGCAGTCGAGGACTCCGATGGCGCACTAGAGCTAATCTTGGGAAAGGTAAACAAAGTGCTATACCTGATGGAAACCGGAGGCGTCACGGGGATCCAGTACGAGCCTACCAGTGTCAAGGCTGCGCAATCTGAACAGGCACTCGGCCCGATTCGTCTTAATGGTGACCAGGTCGTTCTCTCCGTCGGCCCTTGGACCTCTAAGATTCTCCCAGACTGTCCGATTTCGGGATTGAGGGCACACTCAATTACAGTGGAGCCGTTTAAAAGCGAGAGCGTGTCGCCCTACGCGATATTCACCGAGTACAAGGCTGGGAAAGACTCTTACGTGTCGCCTGAGATTTACGCACGGAAAGACGAGGTCTATGTATGCGGCGAAGGTGATTCTGCAGTCGACGTTCCGGAAACCACCGATGATGTCGAAGTTGTCAAGTCGAAGTGTGATGACATCTTCAGACAGGCAGGAAAAATGTCGCCCATGTTGCGCAACGGCCGTATCTTGAAGAGACAAGCTTGCTACCTTCCTGTCCTCGACGTTCCCTCGTCAAGTGGGCCGTTGATCGGGGAAACTAATGTGGAGAATCTATACTTGTGCTCGGGGCACTCCTGTTGGGGGATAAACAACGCACCTGGGAGCGGAAAGATTATGAGCGAGTTACTTCTAGATGGTCGTGCCTCCTCTGCCAACATTTCCAGTCTTGATCCGTCTTTATATTTTGACGCGTCTGTATTGGTGAGCGATGACGAGGACGACGATGAATATGACGAGGACGACGATGAATATGACGAAGACGAAGAGGCGGTGGTTGATGGCGAGTAGCTTGGCCATATATTCAAATTTATGAGACCAATAATATCCACCCAGACCAGGTAGTTTGCGCCATCCCTAACAAATCGACTAAAGTGCCCCCACAACGTACACGGGAAAAACCATGTGGCGTTGAGGTCCACTTGCAAGGCTATTTGATGCCGATGTCGGCACTAATATTCTTGAAGTGTGTACATAGACGTTATTTAGACTGATCAATCTGACGCAGGCTGTGACTGAAAGGGGTATGTGTATGCTATCGAGGCTTCTGCCTGCCGAATTCGGGACCGGATCTTGTTTTAATCACTGATGTCACCATTTATGGTTAGCGTTGTGAGCACATTTCGTGCTAAATCGGGTAGGCCTTATTTGCTCGGTTTACACAGATCTGACTTTTCTAACCAGGAGGCGGTGCGACTAAGCCCATCTGGGTGCACCCGGACATTTCTGCATATGCCTCGTAACCACGGGTCCAATAAATGTCCTTACGTATGGGCCGCTGATTCATCTCTTTTTCTCCAAGTAGCCTTTACATTCTTTCACCGTCTCTTAATTTTGGCTAATGATGGAACACTCTGCGAACGGAGGCATGGGTCATGACATGCCCATGCACGACATGTGCAAAATGAACGTATGTATAGCGTGACCTGCGGACCCGTCGATCCATTATTCTAACTCGTCAAACAGATGCTTTTTACATGGGAATGGGAGAACACGTGTGTGGTATATAAATGGTGGCATGTGAAAACAGCACCAGGTTTTGTTGGAACGGTTTTAGCTCTAGTGTTGTTGAGTATGTTCTATGAGTTTACGAGGAGCTGGATCTCTCTCTGGAAAGCTCGTTGGACGCCAAATTCGATTGCTCCAAATACACCCTTAGTCAGTGGAAGAGCATCCAAATCTATTAGAATAAAATCTGCTGCTTTGTATGCGTTCCAAGTGGGCTTCTCCTTCATGTTAATGTTGGTGTTTATGACATACAATGGCTGGTACATGTTGGCCATAGTGGCCGGTGCTGGATTTGGTTTCTACCTTTGGGGAGATGAAAAAGAAGCAAAATCTATGCTTTGTCACTGAAAATGTGCGTGTTTTTAGATGTGCTCAATATAGATTATTAGCGGGGCTTTCTTATGGTCATACATTTCGCTAGAGATGTAAACTGTGAATGAGATCTTTCGCGATATCTAACAACAAGCATTAGACTTAGAATATTAGAATCAATATCGGATGCCGAAGACTATGAAATATGTATGATATGTTGTTCCGTGGATTGAATTTGGCTTATATGCGACTTGTTGACAAGACTTGATCAAGTTCTTGGGAGACGGGTCTGACCTCTTAGTTACATATTGTCATGACTGAGGAAGAAAAGGCGACAATTTTCGAGGTCTTGAAAAGAGAGGAAAGGAAACAGAATACACATTTGAGCCAAAAAGGCGATGCATTAGAATACATCCGGTTTGGCTGGACATCCGCATCTCGGCATTCTAGTAGCTAGTATAATTCAGAAATGTATACCCCATATTTTCACTAGGACAGATGACGCATGAAGTGTCTATATAAATGAACCAGCTCAGGCTCTGCGGTGGGACATTTACTTAAATAAGCATCAATCCTAGCTATATTTTGGCTCTGTTCCGCGTGAAATCTGTAAGAAAAGTGCTAAGTACTTGCGTGAATATTTTTCTTGAGAAATATTTCCCATTTTAGAAAAGAAACCTGAATTGTGAGGTTTCATTAGCTTTTTAAAATCTGCATTCAAAGGGCTCTTTTGGAGCTACCTACCCCCACGCCTTCCAACTTAACGAGACTTATTTCAAAAAAGTAGTAGAATATGATCTCAAATGATATATCTATAATATATATACAGATATATAGCTGAATCCAGTCAGCTATAAGGAAAGAGCTTTGAACCAGTATTTGATTCTCAGCCAGAGTATTTCGAATCTGCCCTCAATTTGGGGCCTCGAATATAGAAATAAACAGGTACAAGTACCAATGCCGATGTAATGCATGCCAAAAGTGTGGTTCCCCAAGCTACAGGGTAATTCTTCGTGCCCAAATTTGTAAACATGGCCCTTCCATATAGAGGTGAAGCACCTCCCATCATAGAGCGACAGAAGCCATTACCAGCATATACCGAAGCCAAGACTGAAGGGAATGACATACCAATGTAGTTGGACAAGGTCTGATAGACAATAAAGGCCCCAAACAAAAATGTTGCCGCACCAATCATAGGAATTATCCAGTGAAGTGTTGGCGTGGCGGTCCATGCAAAGATAAGCATGCCGATAGGCATGAAGCAGCTTCCGAAGATGCACATGGGAAGGTAGACCTCGGGCTCAACATTTTCGCCTTTCACTAATTTGCGAGTGGTCTTGAAGTAGATAACAGGGAGATGAAAACAGACACTAATCACAAGACCTGTAGTGAGACAGAGAGAGCTTGCACCTATACCTAAAGTGCTGAAGCCATTCATTAGTTCAAAGACAATAGGAAATGCCTCAAACCACATGTACATGATGGCATATATGAAGCCCATGTATATGTCCATGAGTAAAACAACGGGCTCAAACATGACGATCTCCAAAGGGCGCCACACTGCGTACATAATCACATCTTTGATAGAATGCAGCTCGTTATCAAGGTGTCCCTCGCTGGTAATATTACTGTTGTCAGTAATTGACCTCAATCTTGATGCCTTTCTGTACAAGATAGTTTTTCCATAAGACTCAGGGAGAAAGAATCCATAGAATAGTAGTATGGAACCCGACACAATAGTGATAAACCAGTATGGCCAATGATATCCGCCTCTAGTAATGAGGGCAGCGCCAATAAAAGGCCCTAGCGAAGGAGCCGAAAAAGCGCCAGCTGCCCAGCATGCTAAAGCCATGGGCATGTATGGAGTAGTGACAATATCGCCAATACTGGCACCACCAGTAGCCAATGCGGGACTTGCAAAAAAGCCGGCAAAAAACCGCAAGGTGGACAAAGTTGTTATGTCTGTTGCCAATGCACAGGGGATTTGGAACACAAAAAAGAGGAACAACGAAACAATGTAAATGGACGTTCTTCCGAAACGTGCGTTTTCTGATAAGGGACTGAAAACCATGGGGCCTACACCGTAACCAAAAGTGAAGCAAGTCAAAGGCAAGCTAGCTTTTAATCTAGTGGTATTCATGTGCACCATCAATTGCTCCACACTGGGCATGTATATGGCTCCGGCCATATATATAGAAGAAGTGAGGAGAGTAATCTGGGTGACAAAGATGACTTTATACCAAACTGGCCATTTGTATGGATTATCTGGATCATCATCGCCTTCCCACTGGATAAGAATTTGACTGTCTTGTGCCAAAATATTGGCATCAGATGGAATAGTTGAAACCGATGAATCTGTCGACAATTGCTGGTCCGGAATATCAACTTCATCGAATGTTTCGGCAATATACTTAGAGTTGAGTTTAGCCTCAAGCATGTTCTTTTCTTGGAGAAGATCAGCGTAAGGTTCTTCTCGGTATCTAAGGACTCTTTTGCCCGAGACAAGGTATATAATGTTTCCCCAGAACGAATCTCTTAAAACCTGAAGAAACATGGTGATCGATGGGTGAGCAGTGTCTGAACGTAAGGGGAAGGAACACGTTTTTATAATCACATTGTGAACTTCTTAGACATAGCCCAAAAATAGCTGATCGGAGACACATGTACCTGAATTTCGATGCATTGCTCTAATGCCTTCTAATCAACAGCGTTATGAGCATTTACAAGCTTGGGCTAGATGCGTTGTGAAATAAAAACACGCGCAACGCAATCGGAAGCCCGGATTCACTTATCCTGGTACCTCCTGGATTGGTTGGATAGTTATGGCTCAAAAGTATAAGCTTGAAAGATGTTTACATGGCTGAAAATAAATTTTCAAGTACGCGAGAAGACCTTTCAAAGGGCTATTTCTGCGTCATCACTATAGGTCAAATTCTTCTTACTTGTCTTTCGTCATCTCCATTGCTTGTGGTTGTACCTTTGCAGTTGCGCGGACCTGCGTCGGGCCGCATCCGAAGCAGCGTTCCGGCATAATATCTGCGATTCGGAATCCCGCCTGGCTCCAGCAAATAAGATAATTTTACACAGTACAGCAGAGTAAAAGAAAATACAGCCAGAGTACGTCAAGGCAAGTCTGAAAGAGACTCACTTTCAATATGTTAATGTTTGCTCTCAGAAGACGTAACGAGTTGATTTCTTTGTTCTGAAACAATCATCTAGCTCGCGTCGCGGTAAAGAGCAAAAAAAGTCCGAGATGCAAGCAAACTTGTAGCGACACGCACACTAGCCACAACGTTGCCGAAGTGCAGCAAGTTTAGGATGCGTGATACATAAGCGTGTCGGGGCATCTCTTCGTTAATATCGTGACGTCACTAAATGATTTCAATTTGTGTTCCTTATGACTGAAACAAAATTTTCTGCATGTATTTTGCTGTCAGGATGATGACTTGACAGACTTGCTTATTAGAGAAGGAAAAAACGAATTTTCCGTACTTTCTTCGAGAATCTTGCGAAAATTGCAAAGTCAGTGGAGCTTTGAAGCAAATTTGAAAAAGAAGAAGCAATCTATCTACTATGTACACATAAGATCAAGAAATACCTGAATTATAATTGGGGCTCAATTTCCATGTCTTTAGAGCTCAACATGTACCATCATTTTGTCATGTTCCTCACGAGAAATCTCTCGACGATATCGAAAGATATTCGTCTCTTTTCTTTTGATCTTGGAAAAAAGAAAGGAGCAATAATATCAGAAATATTCGTTTAGTTTCCGTTCACTCAAAGAAAATGAATAATACACAAGTGCATCCAAGTCCACAGCGCGTAGGCAGTAGTCGACGTGATCGTTATTCAAGGCACATTATGTTACGGGACATTGAACATTGTTGTTTCATAATATTTAAGAAATCGCCCATTATTGAATAGAGAAACACCTCAAGTGCTTTTAGAAAAGTATGTTTCTCTTACGCGGTATATGAACTCCACATTTTGCTCTCTTTGAGCATGACGTTGCTGAATAGCTTGCACCCATCATTGCAGATCATTGATTGAAGCATAAATGTTCAGTATATAAAGTACAATGTGAACCAGCAATTATTAATGCTTGACTGATATATTTTGTCGTGAATCTCGTTCAGCGAATGTGATTTGTATTCCTGGAAACAGCAGAATATATCGGTTGTCCCCAAATCAAAATCATTGCGCCAACCACTTAAAGAATTATCAAGATGGTTGGGCATATAGAAAATAAATGGCACAACAACAACTCAACTATAGAAAGATAATAGCCCAAATGTATGTTTAGATATTGAGGCGAGAATATACAGTGAGTGAGAAAGCAGTACGGCTGCGCGCCTTTTAAACAAAGCAAACAAGAAAATACACCTATCAACCCCTTGCTCCAGAATAAAGAAGCATTTTGAAAGTAAAAAAAATTGTTATGCTGATCCCAAGCCTTGTTTCTCGGCCTCTGTCTCAGAGATTTTAATGCTGAGTCACTCAGATATCGAGTCTCTGAAAATTCAAGTCTTGAGGTGTAGTCATCGATCTCTAGCTACTGAAAAAGAAATAGAAAATGATCCACACAATAACTATCTTCTCAGGCATCACAAGTCATGAGCCGGAGGTTTGCGAATCATTTAGCAAATGTAAAAATTTGAAAAGAAAGGTGTTTTTGACAACTCGTCTTTTCGAAAAAGGCCATATCAGACGCTGCCATGAAGGCAGTTTGTTGTGTTACATATTCATAGAATCGCTGAAACCTGTTGTCTATGAAGACCCGAATGTTCAATTTATGTTGAAGACTGGGTGCCATTTACCGAAGGGTTTGGTGGTAAACCTATATCCCGTGGAATTCAAAGCATTGTGTTTCTATTATTCTATAAATCTCAGCCTTTATCCGAGATATGCTCAATGCACCAAGAAGTTTCTTTAGTTGGCGTATTTGGAACGGGCTCTCAACTTGGGTCCGTTAAGGTAAAACAAAACTGGAATGAGAACCATAATCCACATTATGATTGCCAAAATCATTGTGCCCCATGCGACAGGGAATCTGCTAGTGCTCAAATTTGTGAACATGGCTCTTCCAAAGAGAGGAAATGCGCCTCCCATCATGGCACGGAAAAAGGCATTTCCGGCAAACACAGACGCCAAAAACCTGTAAAATGACATGCCAATGTAGTTGAACATAGTTTGGTAAATGATGAATGCGCCACACATAAACAAGCCGCCACCAATCATTGGGACAATCCAATGTACAGAAGGTGTTGCAGTCCATGCCAAAATAATTAAGCCAGTTGGAGACATCACGCTTCCAACAATACAGAGAGGCAAAAGCACCTCTGGGGTCACCTGATCACCTCTGAGGATTCTCTTAGTAAATATCTTGTAAATCACCGGAAGATAGAAGCAGAACCCAACAAAGATTCCGACAATGAGACAAATATAACTTGCACCCATCTCGACCAATGTAAAGCCATACATTTCAAAGAACACAATTGGAAATGCTTCAAACCACAAGTATATGATAGCATACAAAAGGCCCAAGTAAATGTTAATGAGTAAGACAACAGGCTCGAAAATCATGATCTCGAAGGGACGCCAAAATGTCTCAACTAAAACCTTGCCCCATTCTTTGGCCTCATTTTCAATATGACCTTCACTCGTGATATTCATGTTACCAGTGAGGGCTCTCAATCTTTCAGCCTTTCTGTACAAGATGGTCTTGCCATAGGATTCTGGAAGGAAAAAACTCAAAACTAAGAAGAGAGCCCCGGAAGAAATGCACACAAACCAAAATGGCCAGTGGTAGCCACCTGCAACAACAAGAGCAGCACCAATTACAGGCCCTAAAGTTGGGGCAGCAACGGCTCCGGCAGACCATCCAGAAAGTGCCATAGGCATATATGGAATAGCAGTGATGTCACCCAAACTAGCACCACCTGTGGCCAAACAAGGACTGGCGAAGAATCCAGCAAGAAAACGCAAAACACTCAAAGAAGCAATATCAGTGACTAGCGCTGTAGGAATCTGTAAAATGAAGAAAATAAACAACGTGACAACATAGATTGATGTTCTTCCAAAACGCGCATTTTCGGATAATGGCGACAAGACCATTGGTCCAATTCCGTAGCCGAAAACGAAAAGGGTCAAGGGTAAGGTTGCTAAGACCCTCCCCACTTGCATAGATTCCATAATTTGGTCTAAGCCAGGGGTGTAAATAGCAGAGGCCATGTACACAAATGCTGTTAAAAGACCAATTTTCAAAATGAATAAAACTTTGTAAAGGACAGGCCAATTGTATGGGTTTTCGGGATCGTCTTCACCGTCCCACGTCACGATAATTTTATTGCTTGTAATAGTGTTCGTTGATTCACTGCTAGATTCCGCATTTGTCCCAGAATTCGATAATGTTTGTCTCTCAGGATCAACAGAATTTGAAACTGAAATGGACCTTTCTTTCGCCCGAGCTAGCTCATCATAAATCTCCGGAATAACATATGTGGGCGAATCTTCTTTGTAAGCGAGCACCTTTCGCTTGGAAAGATGATATATAATTTGGCCCCAAAAGGAGTCTCTCAATATTTGACGAAACATGGGGTGATGTAATTTCTTCAAGTGTTTGAGTTCGTACAATTGACTAAGAGGATTTCTGGGGATTAAAGCTCACTCAGACCAGGGGGATTCGTGCGGCGTGAATCAAAGTGTTGCAAAGTAGGACTCCCGAACGAGTTTGGGGGCTGCGGGCGCATATTTATGTATTTCCATGCACGAGATTGATTTGTCATATCTGCAAAAATGAAACGTATGCAAAATTGACTGTCATCGGATTTAGACTGCAAACCAGAAACGGGGCGTTATGTGGAAGAAGCATATGCACATAGTATTACGTCTTCGGGGGCAAGGAATTTCTTTAGAGATCCTTTCCGTCACAGTAGCTATGGTGTGCATGTTGATATCCATCGCACCCGCGATCACTGGCATATAGTTATTTTTGGACGTCATAAAGGAAGAAAACAAATGTACTACTGCATAAACCTTCAGGATCGTGGTAACGGTGATTTATAAGCGGCATCGCAAGAGTGGCAAGACTCGTCTTAATTCACACGAATTTTGTCCATCCTCAATGAGTCTCTTATTTTTGCGACAAATCTAGGAAGTATTAATTGAATACGTAGGAAAAAGCTGGATGGTAAATTCTAAACAAATGTCTTCAGGCAATTCAGGTTTAAAGTTTGATGAAGGTGGCATGTACACAATAGTTGTGCACAGCCGCACGGCTCATTTGCGGAAACAATTACCCGCATTGATTAGACCTGAGTTTAGTCAGCAC